GCTAGAAAAAACTCTCTAAAGATGATTTAAAGTTAAGAAATAGATTTGGATTTAAATATTTAAGAATCTCTGGATTTAAATATTTAACAATCACAACAAAAAATATATACGGCAAAATAACTTAAAACTTTTAGTGTTACAAAGCAATATAATTAACATATTTTCTATTAATGTTTTTATGTAACTTTTGTGTATGTTGTTTATTATTGTATTAAAACAGAATTCGAAATTCTTAAAACATTCTTAGAGTAGCTTAGATATTGAAATAATTCTCCAAAGAAAGTAGCAAGAAACTTCAATATGGCTGTGAAGTGAAAGCTATTTTTCAGACTAATAAAATACGATTATTTTAAAGATATGACAACATATACATTTGTGTTTTTCGAATATTTATTTCTCGAGAAAAACAAGGTTTTGCATAACTTTGTTCATGAATAGGATTGTATAATGACGCCAGACAGGATGTAAAGACTAAATTATTTTAACCTTTTTTTAAATATCTTTACGATGTCTTTCGGATTGAAAAGTACTATGCGGAACAGTTTTTTTTGCAGTCTCTTGATATTGATTTATTATTATTATTATTATTATTATTATTATTATTATTATTATTATTATTATTATTATTATTTTCATCATCATCATTATCATCATTATCATTACTTTTTTGTTTTGTAATTGTCTGAACGACATAGCTTGTTTTGTTATTCATTTAAGTCGCAGAGGCACAGCGGTCGTATTTCCCCTGTTTTATGTCAAAAATTTCTAATGAACGTTTGTGTTTCTATAGCACTATCAAAACTTGATTAGGTTTTACAATCACATGCATCTTTTTTTATTATTTTTGAAAAATAATTAAAAATCATATATATAGTTTTTTTATCATTTTGATTATTATTATCGTTACTTACTCTTATAAAAAAAAGAAAGTGCTTGGTTTCTCATACTTTTTAATATAAAACAAAGCACTGTCTGGTATTTTTCACATATTTTACAACTGTCCTCGATCATTACTTAATATAGTTGGGTTTATATAATAATATTAAGTTTTTATTATACATATATATACAGGGTGTCCCAGAATTGGTTTAACATCTCTCGTAGACAGGTAGAAGGAATAAAACTGAGGTAAAAAGTCCTATATCATTTTGCTAGATTCGCAATAGTTACCGAGATTTTAATTAACAAAGATCCGCGAATAAGCGTGCATCGGGCTGTCTTACGCGCGTAAGACAGCCCGATGCATGCTTATTTGCAGATCTTTGTTAATTAAAATCTCAGTAACTATTGCGAATCTAGCAAAATGGTATAGGACTTTTTACTTCAGTTTTATTCCTTCTACCTGCCTACGAGAGATGTTAAACCAATTCTGGGACACCCTGTATATGCGTGTGCGCGCGCGCGCGCGTGTGTGTGTACATACGTATATATATATAAATGTGTGTGTACAGTTTTGTAAATTATACTTGTTATAAAAAAAATGTTCTTTACTTAATATTTTGTGCCATCAACTACTTCTTGTGCTACAAAAGACCATTTTGTTCATCACAATTTGAACAACCTTTACCAGAAACGAAATTGACTCACATGCATGCAAAGAATATGATGAACAAGTTATAATGATTATATATTGTGTTTGAATTCTTTTTTTCTCTCTTATCGTCAATTTTTTTAATTGGAATTTTTTGTACAACGTTTCATCATACATAAACCGACTTGATGTCGAGAAAGGTTGAAGGCCGTCAAGATTATTTCTCTTTTCATGTGATGATTCCCGGCCAAGTTTATAGCATTGCGTTGCCACAATCCACTTGGCAGCAGTGGTCAGTCCAACTATGTAACCTCATTTTCTCTTCTTAATGCGGATCTGACTATTCATTACTTAAGATAATCTACGATTAAACTCCGCCCAATTTCCAATCAAAAAGTTTATATTACTGTTGAATTAAAAAAATATATATACTTATTAATTGTAAGTGGGAAAAATTTGTATACAATCATACAAAAGAAGACCGCAAACCTTGACTTCATTTTTTTTCATTGTGCGTAAATTAGCTTCTTTCAGCCGTTAATTGCAAGTAAGGCTTCAAGAGTTTTACGATAACTAAGTTTTGTAAAAAAATTTTATTTTATAGTTTTTGTTTAGTTTTTGAAAATAAATCAGTTCTTTCTATATTGTACTACGATTATTGGGCTTATATATACAGCATAGTTTTCGTAATTTCAGGTTCTGTAATTTCACGGACAGTGTTTTTTCCATATTTCACTTTCTCCTATTATGCTGTTACACTATTATTGACACTGTTATAGATACTCGCACGTTAATCGCGCATGTCATTTCTACAATTGACTACAATAAATATTGGGACGCAGTATTTGTATGTGCAGTATCGTTTTGCGTAAGACATTGCTTCTTCTAAAGAGTAAATGCAAGGAAAACGTGGAAATAAAAAGTTTATGGATCTTGACGTTGTAAAAATATATAGAATAGGAATTGTGCGCTAACTAGTTTTCTAAATATTGCTTTTTAATCTTGCGTTAATCCTGATAATACAGCAAAATTTCTACAGAAATCTGTGAAGATACGGAGCGTAAAAATATGGAAATTGTGCTATAACGGTTAGTACAACTACGGTTTAGTAACTCTCTATTTTTAAATTATGCTAATTGTTACGTGATATCATGTGACAGGGAGCTTTCATAATCATCCTGATAGTGATCCGCACATCGGCAGGTCCAGGTATGCATCTTCACCGACATGTTAACAAAGTTGACGCAATTCTTCGCAGCGATAAATCAACCATTGCATGTGTAAAAGACATTATGAGCCGCGCGATAATTGAAACTTTTTCAAATCGCGTATTCATGAATGGAAATCTCGCCAGTGATGATGACACTAATGCAGTCAGAAAAAAAAGAGACGAGAGAGAGAGAGAGAGAGAGTGTGTGTGTGTGTGTGTATGTGTGTTTTTAATGAGTCTACTTAATTGATACACTACTTTTTTTTATATTCAAGTTTTCATATTCTTAACTTAATTTTTGTTCTCTAAGTTTGTGTGTTGTGTTCTCTATGTTTTGTTTTCTAAGTGTGTGTATGTACAATATTTGTTCGTATTATAACTGTTCTACAAAATATGCTCTAAAATTATCCTTTAAATAAATAAATATTAAGTTTCTTAAGTATTGCTTTACTAAACATATAGATGTTTTAAATATTGCATTTCTTAAATTATTCTGCGATTGTGCGCAAAATAGAATTGGTGAATTGATAAAAAATAACATATGAATATTAGACTTATATTTTATAAAAATTTACATTAGTGATTTTAACACTCAAAATATCTATTAGTTTAATTATACCAGTAATTACTTTCTGTAGGAATTGAGTAGAAAAATATGTTTTATTTCTCATTTTTTGTGAACTCGTAATTCCCTCTATAATTTTCTCTGTCCTTGGCGTTGGTTACATTTGAAAGAAGTAAAAGTAGAATGCAGTGAACTTGTTTGTATTGCTAAAGCTAGTTATACTATGATATAATAAGTAGTCATTTTCGAATAAGAGCACATGGAAATTACCAGATACGCATGAACATCCATTAAGTGCGCTTATTGCTTAATATCGTAATTACGCACGCATGATGTTCACACTGTTTCAAAAATAAAATGAAACAATATTTAGTAATGTAATTTTTCCATGTTTTAATATATTTTCTTTTTATTAAACATAGGATGGTCGTATTTGTTTTTAACTGAAAATGTAATATTGTTAATATTTCTTGGCTTCATGTTGTCAAAAAGTAATCAGTAATGTTCTTCTCAAAATATATATTATCAATATATTATCAATATAATTCTTAAAATTCACAATGGGGTTACAATACTCACTATTAGTTTGCGTAATCATATAATCTTAATAATTACTGTGTTTTCTTTCGAGTAAAAAGAGCTAAAATACAGTCGACGCGTGACGTATTGCAAGAGTAGTAACTCTTTAAATGAAATACTGACGAGAGTAATAAATCGCGTATTGCGTCGAACGAAGTAGCTAGTAGTAGAGTGCATAAAGGAAAAAGAAAGGGACAATAGAGCAGTGAGAGACGAGAGAAGAAAGTTTTTGAAACAGAAAATCGCATTTAATTTTAATATAATGCTTCTATATCTTTTTATATCAAGATTTAAAAGTGATAAATTAAGAATTAAACTACAGAAATCATAGTAACGGATAAATATTGTCATATTTAACACGTTAAGTGCCACGCTGATTTTTAAGGAAGTCCCCGTCAGGCCACGCGCGCCGCTTAGAAGCGCTGAAATTGTAGGGCCAATGTTTCTTATCGCAGTAGAAGATAGTTTACGTTTAGAACGTGATCCCTATAGGTATTCATTCAACACGTTACGTGCCAAGTCTGTTTTGTTTTCTTGAGTGTAAATTAACAGTGTAAATTTTATAGTTCTATATCATGTTACACGCTGTCAGTCAGCGGTGGTTGACGCGGCCGAAACGGAAAGTCTAGTGTTAGCCACCGATGGCTGACGTGGCGCTCAACGTGTTAAATTTCTAACTGATTATTTAGCGTTTTAGATTATCTAACGCTGACTAAAATGAACAGACTACTTTTATACGAGACAATTTGGATTATTACTACATATACTTTTAAATAAATATGTAAAATTTAAATTTAATTTAAAAAAAATTAAATATTTTTATTAAAAATTATATTTTATTTTAAAAAATTAAATATATAGAAAAACTTTATAATATTCACACGTTTATATATACATGTATTTATTTATATGTATACATACGCGCATATATGCATATGTATATAAATATGTGTAAAAAATATGTGTGTAAAAAAATAAGATATTTAATTTTTCATGGTTTTGTTTAAAATTTGAATAAAATAAATATTTGTAATATTGCGTAGTTAATTTTTATGACACAATATAAGCTTATAGTCAATATTTGACATAATGTACTTTTTTTCTTTCATTTGCAGAATAAAACGAACAAATACAGCAGCAAGATACCTCTAGCTAGAACAACTAGCACTATGCAAACGCAGATGCCTGGATCTTTGCCTGATTATCAAATCGATCCTTACAGACTTGTAGAGGATGACCTTAAGGATATTTTTGACGATATACGACTGGTAATGCGTTTTAATTAAATTAACTTTGTAAAATGTATGTACTAGAACTTTTTGTAATAGAAAAGTTAGAATTATCTATCGATTTTTTACAATTGCTAATATTTAGCAATTGTTTAATTTTCTATTCTCAAGTTGCTAAATATTAGCAACTATAGCAATTATGAAAAATCAATAGACAATCCGCTGTGACTTTCTTGCAGAGCAATAGGCGAATAAGGCGAGTTAGTTACATAAAAGTAACTGAAGGCTATTAATTTCCATTCGAACAAAGTAGCCATTGTCATTCACATAGGTAATCTCGAGAAACTTTCGGGAAGTAAGAGTACTGCCTAGCAGATATTTATGTAATTGATTTAATCGATATTACGTACATAGAGCATTAGGAAATTGTGTCGTCTATTGTAAAACGAATGCAACAGTGCGGAAAAAATGCGTGTATTCAAAAGAAATACTTTCTGAAAAAAAAACCGACGTCGAATCGAGACTTGCTTTGATTTTAACAATTTCTCCACCTTCTTTTTAATGACCACATTTTGAGGCAAACACTAATCTTGTCAAAGTCAAATGTTCTATAGTTAGAAATTTTCCGATTAAGAAAATAAACTGATCAAAAGAATTAAAATGACAAAGTGATCAAAACTTTATGATCAAAGTACAAAAAATTAAGTTGTACACAAGTTAAAGAAACTTTTTTTGACTTAAAAAAATTGATTAATACAACAGACTGTCAACTAGTACTGTTTGAAAATTTATTTTTCTTTTATTTTCTATACTTTATCATAAATTTTTAACCATTTTTTGACTGGTCGACTGTACTGACCACTAATTTTTAATCAGTGTGACTAATTGTAATGAGAAGAATTGAATATAACAGTCGCAATATATGATAATAAATTAACTGGCAATATAAGAAGAAAATAGTTTTTTAACTATCTGACTCTTTTTGACCTTGTTTTTCTATATATATTTTGTAAATGTTTTATATTTCTTAGATATAATGACATTTGTGTATGTGCATCTTACTGTTTTCAATTGTCGCTAAAAATATTCTTATTTCTTTGGGGACAGGAACAATCGTTAAGGCACGTTTATAAATATTGATGAAGAGTCATGTAATTTTCACGTGGCAGCGCCTTTGCTTAAGGTGCTTCGGCCCGTAAGCGAAAGCAGCTTGACTTCACGGTCTGCATATGATTGAGAAGAGAAGAACTTTTACTCACAATCATCGTTCACGTACGACAATGTGAAATTTGCTAAATCTATAAGAATGAAAGTGTTCTATTTAATTCTGTAGATAATCGTTGAAAAAATGAAAGTACATTGATTCAATGTGCTAATCATACTATTACGTCCAAGTTGTTAAAAACAGTGTGCCTAATTATCAAATATCTCACTACGTTGTTTAAAAAAAAAACATCCAGCACAGAACTTTAGATATTTTTCAAATAAAGAGAAAATTCTTGAGCAAGTGTTCATGACAATTCAAGAAGTTTTCTTTATTTTACTAGCTGCACTAGTTCAAAGTCTATCTTTTTTTATTTATATTAGAAGAAAAAATATAAACTCTGAACTAGTGCAGCTCCAATACAGGGAAATAAAACAAATCTAAGAGCTCATCATTTTGTCAAAAAGCAATTGTTCTTGAAAAACAAAAAGTAACATCACAATGCTCTTCTCCATAAAATTTAATATATCGAAACAATTCCATTAGCAAGTTTTTAGTTATCATTTGTCGATTCTTGTCGAAGTTTATAAATTTGACAAATTATATATAAATATTACATTACAAGATTACTACAAACGTCTAACAAATGAAACGAAATTGAACAAAACAAATGAAAAGAAATTGAACGTTTTTAACAAACTATTCTAATTTTAACAGACGTAACTTGATTTGAGAAAAATAAAAAAAATCGATATATCGCAAACACATTATCGATAACTCAAACTATATTGAATGAAATCTAACTTCTTTAAGTTTGATGTCCGATATCGCATAAGTAACAGCAATTCGTAAAAAACCAGTACCGATATAACTGGTTATCGAAATCAAGATGCGTTCTTTTTGATTTTGGCCAAATTCCAGGAAGAACTTTCAACCGACACTGTGCCGAGAATTGAAAGAAACTCGCTGATTATATCCTCTCTTCTTTTTTGCAACAAAGACAGTTATTTGACATATTTATTTTATAATTATACAGAACGGATGCCGAAAGAAAGCTGCAAGTAGAAGCTGCGCTGTACTATTTGGTGGTTTTAAGCAAAATCTAAATCAGCACCCTGTGTGCACACATGCACAATATAATTTATTTTATATATAGAGCTATCGAATGATACTAATTTGTTGTAAATTAATTAATTAACATTAAATTTATAACTTTATATTTATAAAAAATTAAATTTGCTTTCTCAAATTATTGATAACTGAATAAAAAAGAAAAAAAAGTGATTTAAACTGGCGCTCTCAACAAAAAAGAGTCCTCATGTCTTGCTTCGTAACTAGTCAAAAAAAGAAGAGAGAAAATTAATTATAATTGTAAAACTTTAAAATTAAAACACTTATAAACGTATTGTACGGCTTTTCAATAAATGTCAAGATACCTATGTGTGTTATACCTATGTGTGTTATACCTATGTGTTTCATTGTTATAGGAACTCATTAACAATATTTCCCAAGAAGAGCTGCAACCTATAAGTACATATTATTTGGATGGCCAAGGTAAAGCGGTGCGACCTATGTTTACTATACTTATGGCACGAGCTATTAATTATCACAAAGGAAGAAAGTAAGCAAAGTTCTGTTTAGAATGTAGATTTGCAGATTTTAATTGACATTAAAGTGGAACAATATGGATCGTATTAGAAAATGATTGTAAAAACTTTGCGTGAAATAGTTAAATCTTTTGTTAAGTTGTTGCATGTGCGGTACAGTTAATCTCTACAAAAATATATGTTCTCATAATGTTTAGAAAACAATTAAAGCAATTAAATTAAAAATACCGACAAAGTGGTAATAAGCGAGAGACAAATGAATCCGTATAAAGTGGCGAATATATCGTGTATAAGAATGAGAACGCGCGTGAATGAAACTGCAATAGTAAGCATCGAATATACGTTTTGATGATTCGGAATATATGTTTTGATGATTTGAGAAAAGTGATTAAATTGATTTTTTGTTGATTATTGGAGATAAATAACATTTTTTTAAATAACAATTATATATAATTCTTGCCTATATTCAAACAAATGTATTTGTGATAATGTGTTTGCAAATTTAAAACATTGAACAAAAATTGAGGTAATAATATTTAAATAATCAATTTTTTTAATTAGAGATTAAAATTTTAATTGAATAATTTATTCTGTAACTAAGATATTTCATTTTCTCAGTGTTCTCTCGCATTCACAACGACAAATAGCAATGATCTCTGAAATGATTCACACCGCTTCCTTATTACATGATGATGTAATTGATCAATCGGATATCCGTCGAGGAAAACCATCAGTTAATGTCGTCTGGAATCACAATAAAGTAAGTTTCTGTTTTCGATTTGCAAAGTACAGTCAAAATATAGTCTGATTTGTCTTAAATGAATGTGCAAACAAACAAAATGATATTTTCCACTTTTTTCTACTATTGTTTACTTATTGTTTTTCTATTGTTTAGTTTTGTAAAATTAAATAATGATAAAAACTTTTTTTTCTAAAATAACCGTAAAGTTGAAGGAGACTAATGTGATTCATGCTTGAGCAATGACTTCCATACTTTTTAGGTTTTGGACTAAAAATAGTTTAAATTGTTTGTTATTAATTTGTACTCTTAAAAAAATTGTTTCATGATGTTTTATATATTGAAGAACATAACTTTTTTCTTGTCAAGAAGTACAAAATTGTGCATTCTAATCACATTATTTTTAATTTTTTTGTGCTTGCTTCTTTATACATATATTTATATACATAAAATTATTTTCACAAACTTACGGAACAAGAGTAAACTATGTTTGCAATTTTCCTTACAAATAGTTGTGAAATGTTCTCTATTAATTATATGATTAGCATTCAATTTATGTCGCAAACGAGTGAGTGCCGACAATTTGCTATAGCGATAGTAGTATTACACAAGCCTTCGTACCACTAGTAAAACGAAAGTGTGATTGTGGCAGCGCTAGGTCAAGAACATGTAAAGCTGTTGACAAGCGAATGTGTTTCTTACTTTTTTTTAATGTACAAACTAGTAGTCAGAAGTAGTTGCGCATATTTCTTCTTGAAGAATTCTGCATAAAATCTTGACATGAAAATTATTTTTAGTATTTTTTTCTTAAAGTGATCAATTAATTAAGTAACAATAGATTTTTTAATTTAAATGTCTGCAATTTTATTATCAAGACGATCACAGATTGAGTACAGAATTTGTTATTTCCAAATTAATGGAATTGTTAACAGAAAACCACAGAAAATCAATTCTTAAGAGTTAAGTGACACATTAGCAGTATCTAGCAGATCTGTTTATAAACCATGTCTGCTTGTTTATAGATGACTCCGGTTTTATTGCGGTATTCTGTCCGAATTTATAGCCAATCTATTTACAATTTGTTAGCAGTTTGCTAATAGAAGAACTTATTTTAATATCTTTAAAGATTTGTTTGATCTTGAAAGCTCAAATCCAACGATTAATACCATTTGTTCAAACATATTAGTATCTCATTGTATGTCACATGATTACTACGCTGTTATGAAATGTACTTTCATCGATGTGTAATATTAAAAGCTATCTTCTATATATATTGTATCAGAAGACTATAGTGTGGTGGTGTGTGTGTGTTTTCATATATTTCTTATATTTATATGATAAATGCACGTTATATGATAGATTGCATACAGCAAGATAGATTAAATTTAGTCAGAGCTACGTAATAAAGGTTAGATAAATACACAGGCAGTTTAGTTGTGTTGTAATTTGCATAATGGATTCTAGAATTTGCATGAGTAAATATTGTGAAGAAACTTGAAAAGTATGACAACCTTGACGCAATATGAAATTAGTACTTTCTGGAAATACAAAGCTTAAGAAAAGCTCTCACGCTCTTTTCTATCGGTTGTAAAAGACAGTACGTTGACTAAAGAATTGTAATATATATTTATTGAAATATATAAGGTTCTAAGAGCAAATCGCAGACTGTTTGTGCGGAAATATGCATGTATATATATACATATGAATTTATATACGTGTTCACAAGTAAATTTTTACAAGTGAGTTCTTTGAATTAAGTTTTCAATTCTTCAAATCATATGGGATGCTAGATTTACATCACGTATATGAAGGACCCGAATACCCTCCCCTCTCAAACTAATTTAATTTGATATATATTTATATCAAGAGACGCGGTAGCGTCTCGACGCCAAGTACACAAAAGTATCCGCCGAATGAGTTTCACTGTCAAGACGCTACCGTGTACTTTATCCCGAGTTTTTTCTCAATGAATTTTTGATACAAAATATTTCGTAAATTATAACACTAATGAAAAATTTAATCTTACTTGCCTTAATAAATGTCATTACGAGCTTTCAATTGCGAGAAGTGCAAATTAAATTGATTCAGTCAATCCAGAGATCTAAGATATTACACCTCAAAATGCAAGAATCTGTCACGAAGATTCTTAAGATTCAGTATCACGTACACAGAACCGCACACACATAAAACATAAAAGTGCGTAGACTGACAGGTGAGAAATATTTTCAAACTATTCAACAAGATGCTAGGGAATTTCTTATATGGCTTAGTGATAACATACAAAGTGTAAAAAATATTATGAATATCAATTAACTACAACTTTGCGATGTAAAATATGCAGTTATACTACTATGGAAACATAGTAATTCTGTTCTTTTACTGCAAATTTCCGAAACTATAAAAAACTCTTCAAGAATTCATACAATTAAATTTTTCATGTTGAAATAATGTCGAAAAAGTATGTAATACTGTATCAATAGTTGAAAAAAATAATGTAACAGTAACAAGTCATAATAATTTTACAATTATTAATATTTACAACTATTAATAAAACTACAAAAATCAATTGCAATATTAAAGGTGTATCTACTACAAAGATACATCTTGGTGGCAATACATGTAAAGTTACTGGTGCAATTTTTCATTATAGGGAAAATTTGAATATTGGATGTTATACAAATATAGTGCGTACTAAAAACATAGACTGGATGACAATACATGATACAAAGATATAAAAAGTGCAATTGGCCTAGAAATGCTAAAAATGTATATATATTTTTTGCTGAAAGAATAAAATAATATATACATATACTTTTACTATTGCATTTAAAAAAAGTAGTGAAATCACTCTAAAAAAAAGTCTTTACAAAAGAAAAAACATACGCCAAGTACATAAAAACTATCTCAATATACAGATTATCTATTACATAAATCTTTTTTCTGTATAAGTAAAAAACACAGACAATACGCAATTAGCCCAAGTACTGGACCCAAGACTGTAGACCCCATAAAACGAGCTTAAAACCAAAGTAAAGTAAAAACTTGGCGTGCTCGGATCGTATATATGTATATATACATATATGTATATACAAGTCATAATAACACAAAAAAGGATTTCGACGATAAATACGTATAAGTGAATGAATTAATAAGTTAATACTAACATATTGGCATTTATGATATTTTAGAATTTAAAAAGTAATATTATATCACATTAAAGATAATTGTTGTTATATTGTTTTAACTACAAAAAAATATAAATATATTGTTCTAACTACAAAACAATATAAATATAAAGGAAGAAAATATAATAACATATGGTAAGATGTATGTATACTTAATTATAATTATATAAGATATATGTAATATATTAAAACATATTAGAGTAATTAGATATATCTAAGAATTATGCGTCTTAAGTTCATATGCAATATATAGCTTGAATCAGTACTACTTACGACCCGGGCGACTTTAAGCCCGTTTTATGGGATTTACAGTCTTGAGTCCAGTACTTGGCTAATTGCGTTGATTGTCTGTGTTTTTTACTTTTACAATTATATAAATATTGTGTATATATATACATGTATATACACATACACACAAGAGACGATCGATAAATCCGAAACAATGCACAGTTAATTGAGAGAATTCTTGTTGTATAACAGTTTAAAATACATTTATCAATAACAAGATCATGTGTAAAAAGGTTTTCAGAAAGAAAGTAAGTAAACGTAACAAGTCAAATGCAAAATTTAAAGCACGAATATAGGTCAAACTGTCACGGACTTTTGTGCTCTGACCAGCACCTGGTTGTGGTTTACATATGAAAGAGTATTCACACGCAGCTGTTGTCACTTAGATCGCTGAAGGTCATGTTTTCAGTTTTCTTCATTTTTGTTTCGTTTAACTGTCCAGCAAGTGTGTTATACAAACATGCAACGGCGTCGTGTGAAATATATGTATAACTAATGATAATTTTGTTTCTCCGGTGTAACATTAACTTTTAGACCAGCATGATGCCGTACGGCATTGCTATTAGTACGCTAATATTATACCGTATTTTACAAAAGAATTCTCTTTCATTTGACTTAATTTGTGAGAAAAAATATTTAGAAAATCTGAATATGTTGTTGGATGGTGTAGTTTAGCTTTCGAATTCGCTGTCATTTAAGATGCAAAATTTATTTATACATTGATTATATTGATTAGCTTGATAATAATGCTACTGTATTGAAAGACTTTTGCAATTCGACTTCAAAAACGTAACTAGCGATATGAAAAATCTCTAGAAACATCATTTTTCAAAATTTGAAAATTTGATACTTTTCACTTCCGTTTCCCGCTGGTTTGGCGCCAATCGGAGCCAGATGAAACTTAGGACACTTTAATATAATAAACAAAATAATAAATGCAATATAATAAACTAAATTTATATACAAATATAGCGGAAAAAATACCATGTTTTTAATGAAAAAATACCGGCGGTCTAAAGGTTAAGCGAGATGAATTAATGTTTCTTTCTCAGATAAATCACCGCTTTCTGCACATTAATGTTTAACAAAACTTGATATGCTTTTTTTCTTGCACAATTGCAAGAAAGTATTGCTGAAGCGCATGTTTTTTTTTTAAGAGAAACTTTAACAGGTGTTCCTTTCGGAGACTAAGGTGCGTGAAAATAAGGCGACGCATTGGTAATGCCGGATGTGAAACTCGAAATTACGAGCTGTTTGTTACTTCTGCTATTGTCATACGAAACGATGTCTCATCAATTAGCTTTACCCAATCAAAACGTTGTCTAAGATGACAGTCTAAAAGTTTCATCCTGTATTTCTTTCTACAAAATTTAATTCTACAATTATTGTATAATATTATATTTTACTGTTTCATTTAATAAACACCGCAGATTACAGTATTCGTAGGTTTTATATTTTTCGAGTAATTAACATGATCGCATATTCAGTCATTAATTTTATGAAACAAATATATATGTATATATTTGTCAAGTTTCATACTTAATGACTCAATATATATATATACATATATATATTTAATATGTATGTAATGTGTGTATGTGTGTACACACTGTAAAAAGTATTAAATAGAATATAGTACAAGAATTAAGGAAATCTGTGTGAGTTAAATTATAAAAGGAATAGAAAGCGGAACAACATATCTTAATTCTAGAATTTAATATATGAAAAAATATATGTAGAAATCAGCATATAACATAATAAATCGTAATCATTAAGAATTGACAAAGGTTTTGCAGTTTCAACTCGTCAAAAAACGCTCTGCGTTATAAAACAATTTATCAACAATTTTTGTTGTCTACTGATCGTAGACGCACCGATGCACTAAAATCGAATATGTGATACGCTTGAATGAAACTTATATGAGTCATTGTATTTCTGTTCTATTATGACATTAAATTTTTACATTATGTACGTTTGCATTTTTGAACATTTTCTATTGGCATTACGTATACAAATATTTTTTTAGCCACATACTTTTTATTCAATAAATAACTAGCAAAAACTAAGTTTAAAATATGCAAATAAAGTAAGTTTAATGTACTAAATATGTACTAAATATGTACATCATATGATACAAAATAAGCTTTAAAAAACAAATTTGAAAATAAAAGAACCAAAGTGATAAATAAATAAGATTCCGAACATACCGTATTTTCTCGTATAATTTAATAACACCTTCGAAGTTGTTTGAAGGATTTTCAGTGAAAGGAAACACAAATTACATCTGTAGGATATTACATTGACTTTACCGAGTTTACTGTTATTAACCAGCGGTACAAGAAGAGGAGGGAATTTTCCTACTACGCGATAAAAAAATAAAGGCGATAATATTTTATAGACAGCGGCTCCTGCATAAGCGTTCTCTGCGTAGCACACTGAAAGTCGAGCTATTTGCACTAGAAACTAAACACGCAGAGTAGGGATAGAGTGTAGTGAGAAAACTTCCTCCGTTTTGCAACTGTTATTAACAGTAACGATAATGAATAATCACATGAATTCATTAACTCAATTTTGCATTATGTATTTATTTATAAATATTTGCATCTAAATATCTAAAAATGACTTTATTATTTTTATAAAATTGAAGAAATTATTACTATCTAATTATTACTTATTACATGTATAATAAATATCAAATACTGATATAAAAGTATAACAATTATACATAAATTTTATTTTTGTTTTAATATTACTTGTTTGTTGTAGGTAGTCATGGCAGGAGATTACATCTTAGCAATCGCCTGTACAATGCTCTCTAGAATTCAAAATAACGACGTGACTATTACTATCAGTCAGGTAAATTATTTGTTTAATCATTTGTACGTTTATCAGAGTTTGTTTTGAACAGTTTGTAAAATATATTTTATCTATAATTTATTTATAGATAATATTTTATCCATCTGTTTTGTCAAACAGCAATCAAAATATAACAGCATATTAACAAAAATATTAAGTTTTGCTATTTTGTAGATTATTTCTGATTTGGTACAAGGTGAATTTATGCAACTCGGCTCTAGAGAGACAGAAAATGAAAGGTTTGCACACTATCTCACAAAAACTTATCGAAAAACAGCAAGCTTAATCGCTAATTGTGTTAAAGCAGTAAGTATATATAGTTATTATTATTCGTTAAAAAAATCAATCTTTGCTACTCAAAATCTGTAAACAAATCATGATAGACATTATTATTTTTAAACGCAAAATATAATATATAATTAGTAATAAGAGCAGTATGTTGGATGTTATTGCGGAAATATACAGGGTGTCCGTAAAATTTTGATACAGCCGAAGTATGGAGATAAATTGAGTCAAACTGAATAGAAAAGTTATTTGCCAATTTGCAAACTTCGCAATAGTTAATAAGATAGTAAATACATATGTGCCAATGAGCGTGTGAGAAGCGATGGTCCTGACTGTAGGTGTGTGTGATTGTCAGCTGATCGCGGAGAGCAGTAGTTTCTTATGCCTCGAGAGCTGCTCGCTCCTTTGCATACAGCCGAATATCGGCTGATCGCGAAATCTGCCGAGTCACACGCCGCGCTCGTTTGTTCATTCCGCCTCTCGTTGTTCTGACAGTCACACACCTATGCCTACAAAGTCAGGACCATCGCTTCTCACGTGCTCATTGGCACACATTTATTACTTTGTATCTCATTAACTATTGCGAATTTTGCAAAATGGCAAATAACTTTTCTATTCAGTTTGACTCAATCTATCTCTATATTTCGGCTGTGTCAAAATTTTACGAACACCTTTTGTGCGTGCGTGCGTGCGTGCGTGCGTGCGTGCGTGCGTGCGTGCGTGTGTGTGTGTGTTTACACATACATATATATACATCCGCGCTATTGTTTCATTCTTCATGTTATTCTATTAGCTCTTCCCATTCCGTTGCTACGGCGCGTCCGCGCGAAAAAGTGGGCTGTCCTTACGCTGGATACACACTGATTATATATATATATATATATATATATATATATATATATATACACACATATACACAGGATGTTTGATAATTGCCGTCTCACCACTCGCAGGTAGGTAGAAGAAATTATTTTAAGACGAAAAGTTCTATACTACTTTGGAAGATTTGCAGTAATTAATGAGATAGTAATTAATAAAGATCCGCTAATCAGTGTGTATCCAGCGTAAGGACAGTCCACTTTTTCGCGCGGACGCGCCGTAGCGACGGAATGAGAAGAGCTAATAGAATAACATGAAGAATGAAACAATAGCGCGGATAGCGCGCTGCCCGAACGCAGCCTATATGCTGTTTATATATACACATGTTATTCTATTAGCTCCTAAATTTCTCCACTTTTCAATTGCATGAATTTCGCGTAGAGGCACAGTGTGCTGTTATGTGCCGGATAGCCACGTAATAAGATAAAAGAATATGCAGGATACTTTCTGTGAGGTGCTTTATTAATGTGAGAGGTAGTGTTGCTTGTCTGAGCTGCGAACGAGAACTGATCTTGTCTTAAACTAAAACGTGTGAGCTTCGTTCCTAGGGCGTAATATTTGTCTTTTAATGAGTCATAGATTCACGCAACGGGCAACGAAGGAATTTGGGGAGAGTGTTTGTAAGGAGAGGAAGTTTATCGGGTTGTACTTATTAGTTTATGATTTCGGCGGGTCGTATGTGTCAACGAAGGAAGTAGATAAAATCGTAAACTTGAGCGGCGACAGAGATCGCGTAACAGTGCTCGCGCAGTTCGTTTCGCGTGAATTTGGAGCAAGGTACTACCGTGTCTCTTGATACGTGATGCAAATATAGCATCCTATATGAATTTACGAATTGAAATTTCAATTTAAAAATTCACACGTAAATACGCGCGCGCGCGCGCGTGTGTGTGTGTGTGTGTGTGTACAGACGGCGTCATTAATTCGAAGAATAGGCGCGGGGATCGGAGGGCAAGCGGGGCGGTTGCTCGTAGCGCCAACGGGCGCCGTACTAACTAACTAGTAGCAATCGGGTGTCCACAACTGGACACTCGATTTTGGGACTAATGNATATTTGGATCAACTGGACTTTTTATGTGATCCCCGCGCCTATTCTTCGAATTAATGACGCCGTCTGTATGTATGTATGTATGTATGTATGTTACATTTTGCCATTTGAAATTGTGGTTCGTGTCAATTCTATGCTGTGGAACTACAGAAATATTTTCCACGCGACGATTAATGTGAAAGTGTACGCTATGAATAATAGTAATAATAATTGTAATAATAGTGATATAATGGTATAGCGGTAGTAGTGTTAGTAATAGTAGTAATAATAATAATAATAACTTGAATAAACATTAACAAAACGGTCATAAAAGTAATTATACGTCGGTGACCACGTACTGATTCAGCGTATAGTATTCGATGTAGCTGGTAGCGTCAAGTTAAGTAAGAAATTCACAAGCCATAGCCATAGTCATGTCCTATTTGAATGAAGAAGCATATGATGTTGCTAATTTTAGGTGAGTGTCGAAATGCATTCGCTGCAGTTGAAAGATTGTGGCCAGAGCGTTTTCCTGATCGGACTCCTCACTCGCGTAACGTTTTTTCACGTTTGGCTAAGCGAATCAGAAGTGAAGGTGTCGTTCAGCCTCAACATAACAAAAGTCGACAGATCCGCCATCTAATTAGGGGTGAAAGAGCAGCAGAAATTCTTGCATGGCAGAATTGAACCCTCATGTTTCTTTGAGTCGCCGAGAAATAGATTCTGGAGTTAGTCATGTCAGTATCTGGCGCATTTTGAGTCAAAACACCTTTCACTCTTATCGAATGTCTCTTCACCAAACTGTGAATGATGATTGTCAAAGTAGACTTGCATTTTGCAACTGGATAAAACAATAACCACCTACTTTTCATCACAAAATTTTATTTTCTGACGAATTTACATTCAAAAGTCATGGATGTGTCAATACGTGGAACTGTCGTTTATTGGTCGCAAGTTAATCCTTACTGGTTGAGAGAAATGGATTGTCAACATATTTGGAAGGTAAATGTTTGATGCAGCATTATTGGTAGTCAAATTGTAAGTCTTACTTTCTTTGAAGAAAATTTAAACGCTAATAAGTATTCAGTCTCGATAGAGACAGATCTTCCTGTCTTATTAGAAAATCTATCTGCAATTGCGCCTGGATATATGGTTCCAACAAAATGGATGCCCGTCGCATACATCAAGAGTTGCCCGTGTAGCTCTAAACACTTATGTTTCCCAATAAGTGGATAGGCAAATACGATCCGATCAATTTATCCACTTCGATTACCGTCTTACTATCTTAGATTATTATTTGTGAGGAAGGGTAAAAGACGTGGTCTACCGTGAACGTCCAACTACAAGGGATGATATGATTCGTAGAATAAGAGAAGCAATTCGATCTTGAAATAATGATGAAATTCTTCGAGCAACCAATTTCCTCCAAACCAGAGTAGATGCTTGCATCGCAGAGAATGGTGCTCAGTTTGAACACCTCAATTGAACAAACACACACACACACACACGTGAGAGGAAAGAGGACTCACTTTAATCAAGCACCTCGAAGAGGTGTAAATCCGACCGCGCGACCTCCACGCGGTACATCTTGGGTAATGCTAACGCCGGTGGTACTTAAATTTTAAAGTCTCATAACTCAAGATCTCAACTAAAAAGTGTTTGTAATCAGTGTTTCGAAAACGTCTTGACGTCAGCTACAAGAATATGAAATAAAAAGTAAGGGTTTCCATCTAAGAATTTCAAGTCGACCTTGACATGACCTTCACGACGCCATTCAAGGTCAATCGTACATGTCCAGTAATGCATTACTTGATCACCAACAACTTTTGTCTGAAACATTTTTTAAAATAATCACTTTCCTCGTTTTTAAATGGGGTAGATGGGTGATTTGAAACAGCCTGTATATACAAGGTGACGAAAAAGTACCGGAACACCTGAATAACTCGGAAAATGAAAGTTTTAGAAAAAAAATGTTTTAGACAAAAGTTATAGAGCTTAAAAGGCTCTATTTACTGAGATCTTATCAGTTTGATCTTGGGTGGCATTGAAAAGGTCAGATCAAGGTTACATCAATGTTTTTAGCGGAACATTCTATTTTTTATTTCAGAATCTAGTAGTTAGTGTCAAGTGGTTTCCAAAACACTATAATGAAGTTATTTTTTATTAAGTACTTTTTAAATTATGAGGATTGGATATTATAGTATTGCCGCTATTAGCGTTATCTATTGACGTTATCATTTATTTTGAACGTTGCTTTATCAAAACAAAACTATGTTGAATAGGAAGTTAGGTTTTGCGTCAATTCTCTGCATCATAAACTCACAAACTTCGTTTTGATCAAAATTATCTTCGTAGAAAAAGTACCGGCGGTACTCTAATATTTATCCTTTATAACTCAAAAGGTATTTAATAAAAATAAATTTTATTATAGTGGTTCGAAAAGCTCTTGAATTAAGCTATAAGAATTTGTAATACAAAATAGGGAATTCCATTTAAAAAAATTGATGTACCTTGACCTCACCTTGGCAGCGCCATCCAAGGTCACAGTGATACAATCTCAATAAATAGATTCTTTTAAACCGTACAACTTTTGTCTGAAACAGTTTTTTTAGTAAACCTTATTTTCTAAGATATTCAGGTGTTCCGTTTCTTTTTGTCACTTTGTATATATTTTTGCAACAACATTCAGCGTACGGCTCTTATTACCGTTTATATATTTCGCGTTTTGAAACTTCAGAGCCTAAGATTCTTTATTAATTATTATTTTACTTTTTAGGTTGCTATACTTTCTGAAGTTGATGATCACATGATAGAAATGGCCTTTCAATACGGTAGAAATGTCGGCTTAGCTTTTCAGTTGGTGGATGATCTTTTGGATTTTGTAGCTTCTTCAGAAGCAATAGGAAAACCCACAGCCGCCGATCTTAAACTCGGACTAGCCACTGCCCCAGTACTTTTTGCTTGCGAACGGGTTAGTATGCAAACTGTACACTAATCTCTCATGCAATTTTTTATTAGAAATTATTGATTTTTAAACATTTTATATATCATATACATGATATGATTTTTTTTAATGTTACAGTACCCGGAATTAAACGCTATGATCATGCGTCGCTTTCAGGAACCTGGAGACGTAGAAAAGGCTTTTGATTTGGTACACAAATCAAATGGTCTCGAACAGACAAGATTTTTGGCAAAAAAACACTGCGCAGAAGCAAGCAAGATCGCACAATCTTTTATCAAAAGTCCTTATCAAAAAGCTTTGATTATTATGGCTGATTTGGTTATCAATCGCATGAAATAGCATTACGATAAATGCACACTTGAAGAGACGATTAATTTTATAAATATTTATCATAGTTACACACGTACACATACACACACTTATATCGGATGATAAAATGACCGTATCTAATGGTTACGTTCAGAAAACTCAATGGTTGAGAGATTATTATTTATGATAGGACTATTCTTTAAAACCTGCTACGGTTCCAAAAGTATGATCCAATCATAAGTGATTATCTCTGAATCATTGTGCAACTGTTGAGTTGTCTGAACGCACCCATTGCCTGATGGCGTCCGGGTTTATTCAGACACAAGATGCGTTCCGTTTCATGTATATGCGCACATGTATCTATTAGGGCTGCGGCTTAAATTCGAATAACAGTGTGATTCGGATATCCGGATATTCGAATATAATATATATGTACGAATAAACTTCGATCAACGGATAGTATTCGAATATCCGGATACTTCGTGCAGCGAATAGTACGAATAGTACTATTCGAGTTATTCGAATATCCGTATTATCCGGATATTTCGATATACTCAGTAGCGTATAAACTAGCTTGGGACCTTTCAGTACTCGGAGGCAGAAATGTGATCACAAAATTTAAAAAGTCTATTACAAATACAAAAATAATGATATTTATTGTTCAAGAATTTATACTTGTCATCTACGAGTAAATTTACTCTAATTCTGATATTATATTATAAAAGATAAATAAACAACTCTACTTTTTCTTCGTAAATATTAACTTATAAATCTAAATNCATAAATATTTAAAAGTTTCATAAAATCGTACATAGAATTGTGCACATCTATACACATAACTATGTATGAATATGAAATTGTATGTAGGTACATATGTGAGTAAATATAAAATCGTGTGTATATTTATTAATTACTCTCAGTTTAAAACAACTTGATCAATAATAGTTTGATTATAGCTGAGAGATGTGCGATTGTCGTTCTTTATTTTGTGCGTACTATTTTTTATTATTTTACGGTTTTGCTTTCTCATTGTACAAAACTTCCACATTTACAAATTGTTAGTAAATACAGGAAAAAGAAGCCGATACGATCAAAAAACTAGATGTTTGTGTTTGAAAAAGTTTATTTAAATATTTACGTCAAATTTTTTATTCAATTTTCAGATCTTTTTCAGTGACAATTTAAATGTATAATTATAAATAAATATACAAAATTTAACTGACCTTACGCAAAGTTAACATAACTTAGACAATTTATTAAATGCTTTCAATAATTATAATAATAGATTAAAATATTCACTATTGAGACACATAATAACTCTGTGAACTTTTTAGATGAAAAACTGATTATTAACACCAATAAAGAAATTATATGTATTATATGAGATCTGTCTCTGAATTGAGTCATATAAAATTATAAAATAATTCAATCATTATCATATCGAACACGAATAAGTTAAAACCGTATTTTTAGCAAAAATACGGTAAATATTAATACATATACACACAATTATAGTGTAAGTTTTATAAATCTCAAACTAGTGAGAGAGAAATGTCGCAAGTTACATGTTTGACTGCACAATGCGACCTTCATTATTCGAATTGTTCTATTTGTTTTATTCGGAGTGTACAAATATCCGAATATTCGTTCCTCAGCTATTCGAAATCCGGATACTTCGAAGTATCCAGATTACGAATAGTCGATGACGTCACTATCCGAATATCCGGATTATTATTTATTCGAATAACCGCAGCCCTAGTATCTATAGTATATATTACGTATACTATGTATATACTACAAGTCATGCACACATATGAAACAGAACGTATTCATAAACATATAAGACTGGCAGAACAGTTAGAAATAATGAAACAGTTTTACTCCCCCTTCTATTCTTAACTTTGTGATTTCATCACACAAAAGATTCTTAATCTAAAAAGTATAAATTAATATAGTTGTCCACTTCTCAAGGGTTGTCGAAAATTATTAATTCTGACTTTTCAAGTTTCTCTTTTACCTCTCTATTCTGCGACAAGAGTTACGTTTGTGCAAATAGGTGCTCAATGGAATGCTCATGCAATTTCAGAACAGTGACGTTATATTATTTTACTCTACTTGACGTGTGTATGTATAGTTTATTTTTGTTTCGCGCATATGTTGCGTTCGAACTGTGTTCCGATATTCACTGTCAATATTGAAAATCTATAGTACATGTGACGTAAATAAACAGTAAAATATAGATTTTTGGTTCTGGATATCGAAATACAGCCGTGATCATCTAGCGAGTGTGCGGTAGTAAGGTGACATATAAAAGAACTTGAAAAATAAAAATCAATAACTTTGAGAAGTGAAAAACTACTGTAAAAATCATACTAATCTGAATGAGCTCAGGTGTTATTATTTGTGAGATACATATTAATAAAGTCATTTCTGTTAAATTTTAAGGAAATGATTAAAAACGCTATAAACGCTTTATACACACACATACATACATGTATATATGTATATATATATATATAGGGTGTTCTGAAATTTGAGATTAAAAATATTACAAGAAAGTTATCAAAAAATTGAAAAATTGTGAGTGTATATTTTAAAAATAGTTTTTGAAATATAAAGAGTTAAAAGCTATTCCTAGAAAAAATCCTAAAATATTACGTAGATTTGAACTCAGGTTCTTAAAGTATTAAGTAGATTCTCAAAACCTTCAGGTCGCGAGACTGTTAGATCGATCGAAGTACGTATATACATATGTAATGATCAATGGTGTTATATTGGCATATTGGGCATTTAAAAAATGTCAGTTTGAGGAATAGCTTCTTGTAAATTGATTGAAGAGTAATATGAAGAGTATATATGTAAGTGTTCAAACCATACTTTCTATATAGTACTACAATTGCTGTAGATTGGTAAGAACTATTGGACACAAAATGCATATGTACAACATACCCAGATAGCACATGGACGTCCTCTGGAAATCCAAAGGACATCTTATATAGATGAAACAGATATCCTGTGAATATCCTTAATCCCAGAATCTCTTCTGGATATCCTGAGGAAAAGCAAATGAGCGCTCTTTTTAGTCCCTGAATTATCCTTAGGCTATTATGTGAGTCCAAGGACTCTTACAAGATATGTGTAGGACATCTCAAGAACTTTTACAGAATGTAAAATCCATATTTTTTATATTAATATTTTTTGAAACAAAGTTTGGTAATTGTTTAGAACTCTTACAAAAAAATAATAATACAATTTTATTATTAAAATACTGATATGTTGTCAATAGTAATATCACTTGGCAGTTATGTAAAAAATATTTTTCACTCTTATTTTTTCTTGGAGGCCCGATACTATTCGCCATTCAGCTTATATACTTGATTAGAAGGGATCGATCCGGAAAAAATCCTAAGGTGTTGGATGGATTCGAACTCGTGATTTCTTTGTTCGTAGCCTCTGCACTCAGACCGCAAGGCTATTAGATTAGATAGCCTAATTACCGAAGTATCCTCTATTTTAGAAACATAAGTAAACTCTACCTCTAAATTCAAAATTTCAACGATATTTAAAGGGGTAAATGGAAAAATACAATACTCTCTCTGGAATGTGAATCGACGTCCCTTACAGAAAAATATTATTGGCTATTCTCGGCACAAATATCATCAGTACTTTTGTTCCAGTAATGTACCAGTATGGTAAAATTCTTATATAGAGAAGCACTAAAAATATTTTAAAAGGATATAAAATCTGTCAAATAAATATAATAAAGTTTAACAGATCTCGATTGTTCATGTTCAAAAAAATATGTTCAAAAAACATCCAGAGAACGATGGAATGTTCTCTGGATATCTTTTAGATGTATTTTGAATGTACGTGAGAAAGGTTTGTTATAAAAAAGATAATATATATAATATACATATATTATATTTTTATTATATTTGTATAGTATATTTTTTAACTGTTACCAATTCCCAGAGAACATACGTAGATGTCTTTTGAAAACAACATCTAATATAGATAATAGACAAAGTAGATATCCTCTAGACATTCAGTGGCTATCTAGTGGACATTTATATTTTTTTATGCTACATAAAAATTCTGAATTACATTAAATATCTTATATAATTACAAATAATCATTACAAATAATCATTACAAATAATTCGAATTGAAATAACAATTCTAAAATTCATATTGGATGCTATACTTGCATCTCGTATATGAGAAATCCCAAATACCCCCCTAATTGAAATTAAATTTATATTGCGAAAAAAAACTCCTCGGCCAGGAGTCGAACCTGGAATCTCCGGCTTTCCGTGCCGTTATTTCAATTCGAATTTCACGTGTAAAAATTTACATGTGAACACGTATATATATGGATATATATACACATATAATTTCCGCACAACACCTAGCAAACGGCTCTTATGACCGAATATATATATTTATTAGTTATAAACTAATTCTACTAAGAAACATTTAGAATGAGCATCTATTCTTTTCAATGAGAGAAAGGTCCGCGCGTAGGAGTGGAATAGTGGGCAGAGTGGGGAGAGCGTTGCGCACTAACGACCTGCAGTCATAGGGTGTGTTTAGACGAAGCTAGCGCTACGTAGCGCTACGTAGCGGCTTCATGTAGCAGTTGCAATTGCTGCGTTACTTCTGCTGGACAGTATGGCTACGCGTAGCATGTTCTAAGTAGTGGCCGCCATTTACAATAATACCGTCTCAATTATAATACTTTGACACT